GACAGCAAGAGTAAATGACAAAAATGTTCATTTTCATTTAATTGCAAATGTATTAATCTTTGTCTGCAACACAGCTATAAGTTTCATAATTGTAATGTCAGTTTTTTTTTTTTTTTTTTGCAGCTGGGAGCAGAATGGACAACTGTTTTGTACAATTTCATGTGCAACAGCAGTTGCATGGGTGGCATGAACCGCCGACCCATCCTCACAATCATCACTCTGGAGACTCATGAGTAAGTAGTCCATCTTTGATTCCTCTGTTAGTGAATTGTATTCCTATGTGGATTAGGGATGGGCATTCCAAGCAAAAATAATATTCGAAAAAAATCGCAGGGTATTATTCGATTATTATTCGAAAATCGCACCCCTCGCCCGCATGCACGCACAAACTCCCATAAACTGAGAGAGAGGGAGAGAGACGGGATTCACACTTTCAATCTGTATGATAAACTGTTTAATTCAGAAGATAGGCTACCTTAACTCAAGCCATATAATGATTGTAATGTGCTGAAACATATTAATTTAATAAACACAACCAAATGACGGCACTTATTAACATAACAGTCCGTCGATGAGCATAAATCAACTGCTCATAAGGCTAGGACATTTCCATTTAAAAAAATGGAACCCCTAAAGGGAATAGATACGAGATGGGAGGAAAAATATACTTCAGTATCATCTGTCGCAATTATATCGTTGGGTAATTACACTGTATATAAACTGCGGGCATCAGGGAGCTGTTATTAATATGCGGGGCATTTAAACCACATTTGAACGCGCACTTGTTTTTTACGTTCACTTTCGAGATTCGCGATCACATACGGAACAGCACTCGGCAGTACTTGCCACACATTTTACAAGATTAGATGTTTGTCAGTGGTGCTCAGGATCTGCAAATCATTCGCCATCATCCTATCAGTCATCTCCCCTTACTCTGTTTATGTGGTAAGTGAAATGTTATGTACTGTGATGTAACAGGCTACCGTTAGCAAGCGGCTAACCAGGTCCCTTTAGTGGCTCTGTAGAATGCGTTATTTGTTTTCCGCGCCTTTCTGAATACGGATTCAGCCACATCTCTAACCTAGTCAGGGGTGTTTGTGTGGTCTGCACAGAACTCTTATTTGACATCGTCCCAAGTTACTGTAACCGTTATATGCTACGCAAGTCTTTTTTTATGACATGCAAGTCTACAGTGTGCGCGTGAGACAATACTGTGTCCTTCTGTTGTCTTTGACAGCTTTTAGGTGTGTTATTGGTAGCGCCACCCTCTGCTTACATGAATGCGTCACCACCGCATCAACGTGGAAAACATGGGGAGATTTTTTAAGACAATAATCGCACAAACTATACGATGTTCTATAATTAAATCAACTAATTGAATATTCGAAAATCGTGACCCATCCCTAATGTGGATACCAAGGATCATCAAAACAGCTTTTACTCTTGTCTTGCAGAGGTCAGTTGCTGGGCCGCAGGTCTTTCGAGGTGCGTGTGTGTGCGTGCCCAGGCAGAGACCGGAAAACTGAGGAGAGCAACTTCAGGAAAGACCAGGAGACCAAAACCTTGGGCAAGACCCCTTCTACCACCAAACGCAGTAAGTTTTGCGTGTGTGTATGAAAAATTAAATTAGACTGCACATACACTGCTCAAAATTAATCAAATTAATTTCTTCAGAATGTTATAGTAATGTGAATCTGATCTGACAGGCATGACTAAAGAATCATCTTCATCCACACCTCGACCTGAGGGCAGGAGGAAGGCCAAACTGAGCACGAGCAGTGATGAGGAGATCTATACCCTGCAGGTGATCATGCACCTTCCTGTCTCTTTTCTTTTTATCCTCCTGTGATTTTCATGGAAATCGTAATGGGTTTTATTGAGGGACAAATTAACTAATAAATTAACTGCTAAATGGTTGTGCCACATAATGATAGTAGGTAGTAAATTAAGCTTTGTTGAAAAGGCACTCACTATGATTCCTATATATAAAAAAATAAAATCTTCTGCAGCCTCTTGTCCTTTTATGTGTCTCATATTCTTTTTAATGTATACCTTTATTTTTAATTGATTTAGTTTTTTAAAAAATGTAACCTCTTTTGAATTTGAATTTGAAGTTTATTGCAATTTGCACAAGTACATTACAGTACAAGTACATTGGAATTCTTGTGCATTTCTCAGAGTCAGCTTTTGTAGAAAAGTAAGGAGCAGTAAACATTCTCAAAAAAAGTGCAAGAGAGAAAGAGGGGGAAAAAAGTAAAATGAATAAGTTGTATTGCACAATCTTAACTGTACATAAATAATATTGCACAGAACATAAATTTTGCACAGGACCAGTAATATTGCAGTGATATTGCTCACAAAAATAACAAATTAATACACTGTTGTTTTGGTTACATTTATTATTAACCTTTTTATGATTACCCCTCTTTTTTTTTTTTTATATATAATTTTTATTTAAAACACTTTAAATTTCCACTGTATGACAGGTGCTTTGTAAATAAACATGCCTAGTTATTGTACTAATCTAGCTTGTGCTTTTTAAATGGTATTGTGTAGTACAAATATGGTTGGCTAAGACCTTTAACAAAAAAAAGTGTAGTCTGTGTTTGCATGACTTTTAAGATGAGCTTTCTCTTCATGCAGGTGAGGGGTAAGGAAAGGTATGAAATGTTGAAGAAGATTAACGACAGTTTGGAATTGAGCGACGTGGTACCTCCATCTGATATGGACAGATACCGGCAGAAATTGTAAGTGATATCATGCCACAACTACACCCTGCACAAATGTCTTTTTTTCTCAAAATCAAAACTGTTACAGCATCTGTCAACAGAGCTCATTTGACACCTCATGTACACACTACATTTCATTTATTATTTTTTTTTTTTTTTTTAGATTCACCAAGGGCAAGAAGGAGAAGGATGGCCAAACGCCTGAGCCCAAAAGAGGCAAAAAACTAATGGTTAAAGATGAAAAAAGTGACTCGGATTAGGATGGCGGGATGCTGAACAACAAAAAAAAAAGAATAGTTTTGCCTTTTTTGACTGCCTTTATTTTGCCTTTGTTTGACCAAAACAGCTTGTCATAGAGAGCATTTGGTGAATTGCGGACCCATGATCCCTCAGTCCTGTATGTAATTTTTCATCTTGTTCACTCTACTGGGACCTTTGTAAGTCAGCTGATCCAGAAGAGGTCTATATGAATGAGGCTAGTAATGGCTGGGTGTTGTAGGTGTGTAGTACTTTATCAGTACTGACCCATCATTTTGCAAACCTGATAAATGAATGTCCAGCATTGAGGAACTGTGTGTGGGATTTTTCCTGTTGTAGGTCAGTGCAGGTCACTTACCTCTCAACACGTAGTTTCTGCTCTCTGGTAAGGTTGTAAATTTGTCACTGACTTACTGGATGCCCACTTTGTTGAAAATGTACTAATGCCAGTATTTTGTAACCTGTTTTGTAACCCAAGTTTTTTTTTTAAGAAGACTATTACTGATTAGATGAAACCAGCAGAAATGGTTACAAGCCAAATAGCTATAATAAAAATATGAAGAAAAAAAATTATAATAACACTCTATTTTGTATTTGGAATCCCTTTTTATTAGGTTAATTTCCGTTGATATTCATAAGCAAATGAAATTGTCTAGAACTCGGGCATTTTTGAGTCCCTCCTGTTAATCTTGAGAAAACTATTCTACTGTTCCTACTTGAGCTATATTTTATGCTGTTTTTTTTCTTTCTGTTTTATTACTGTATACACCTTTATCTTTTATGCATATATACACAAGCATTTGTAGGTGGGGAAGTTTTTTTTAATTTTTTTTAAGTGTTTTTTAAATACATTTTTAAAAAATAATTTATTGTCTTGATTTCTTTTTTGGTTCCAGCATTAAAGCACAGTAACGTTTTTACAATTTTAAATAATGAAGGTAAGAAAATGCATGCACGTAAGATTCATAATAAAGTAATTACATTGTGTGAACATTACCATAAAAATAACAACAACATTGTGTTATGTGTTAGAACTATCAGTTTTGAGCTTGTAGACAATCACAGTGTGCCTTGTATAGTATTTTTATGAAAAATATTCATTGTTGGCACTCCAAGCAGCAAAGCTTCTGAAACCACAAAACCCCAAAATGTATTAAGATGGTTCCAAATCCAACCCACTAAATGTAAACACTTTCTCTCCACACTAGATTTACATTATTGTTAATAACAATCATGTGGGCTAGAATCAAATGTTTTTTAGTGCTAGTGATGTGATGTGTGGCCAAGTATGGTACCCCATACTCGGAATTTGTGCTCTGCATTTAACCCGTCCAAGTGCAAACATACCCAGAGCAGTGTGCAGCCATTTGTTGCAGTGCCTGGGGAGCAATTGGGGGTTTGGTGCCTCACTCAAGGGCATCTCAGTTGTGGGTGTTGAAGGTGGAAGAGAGCTCTGTTCATTCACTCCTCCCACCTACAATTCCTGCCAGTACTGAGACTCCAACCTTCAACCTTTGGTCACAACTGCCTCTTTGGCTTATATACAGACATTTTCTAAAAATCATTCACTGTACTCCTAGGCATTTTTGATTTGGATGAAATGGAGAATATCATTCAGAAGCAAACCTCACAAAAATGATTTAAAGAATACCGAGTCATCAAGTTGTTAGCCATGCTCCACAAGGACGAATTGACGTGTACATTGTGAGTACAGCGTTTCAAATTCACAGAACTTTGTACACACCAACGCCAGAGTGATCTGAGGATGTGTCCGATTTCATCATTTTCCATGAAGAGGGAACTTGAGAAAATTCTCAGAATTTTGCATCTGTGCTGAAGTTGAAATTTACAACCAAAACATCTCAACAGTATTCAAATGATCTGACAATTGTGATCATTTTATCCACCTTTCCAATCTGCTTAGATCCAGATGATTTGAAGCTGTATTTATATTTAAGCCTTAAAGGGCAGACTATCTGCCCTCATTAGTCACCTATTAAAACATTTGTCAAGTTAAAAGAATTGTAGATTTTCATGAGAGGACGTCTCTGGTTTGACTTCTGTGGAGGACAGTGTGATCAGTGTGCGACCATCCAGTGGTGCGAAAAGCGGGTACAGCTTTTCACGGAAATTTGCGATGAATGTAAAGATATGTGAGCGTGTCTCTACTTTATAGAAAGACACTTGTCCTTCTTCATAGTCCAGGTAGACTCCCAGCTTTTTGGGCACAAGGGACAGAGGTAGCTCAGTCTCCGGCTTGGTACATGCAAAAAACTGCCGTGTGCTTCTCCATATTGTCCAGAAACCCTCAGAGGGGTTCATGGGACTCCGGCCGAGCCTTTTGGAGGATGCAGTGGTCACTCCGATACGCCAGTAGCCATCATTGGCAATATCAACTTCCCAATAGTACCGACCGGAAGTGAGCCCTTCCCAGCCCAGGACACACGGCCAGCTGTCAAAGCGCTGGGTACTGAATGACACTTCAGTTTCATTCAGAGCTTCCTGTACCTTCCTTTTGTCATCTGAGAGCTGCAGCCATGGGTGGTTAGTCGTGGGGTCCAGTGTGATGTCCACTAAACAGGTGCAAAACAGGTACAGAGGTCAAATCGAAAAGCTTTCTTAATTCAAAATGAACTTCATTTGCAGATGAATCATAAACGGCTGAATCAGTGATACCTGAAGCACTGCGGATCCATCTCCACACTATGGAAGAAAGCGATGAACATTATTACAACAGTGATATGATGAATGTAATTACATTTTAGACGTTTATCACATTTAACTGTGCACTGAACAAGATAAATACATAAATCAGTACCTGAGTTTGGAATGTACTTTGGTGTCTCTGTCAAAACAAATTGTACACATTGAATTGTCAAAAACGTTTAATAATTTAAATGATCACTTTTTCCTAAAAGGAATTTAATATAATTTGCCAAATCAGCGTTTAGTCTACTGAAGGATTTAAATTGAAGTTTCACCTGTTTTCCAGGTACGTTGTTTGTTGAGGAGCCATAGCTGTGGAACAACACCCTAAAAATATACTGTTTATATTATTGAATTACATTATTATATATAGTATAATATATAGGAGATAGTATTGTATACCTAATTTGTAACTGTAAATAATAAATGATTTAGCTGATTGTATTAAAATATATGAAATAAAAATAAATATATAAACTATAAATAATATCTGAATAAATATATAAACATATATAATATATAAACATCTGCATTTGTAATTATGCTGAAACTGAATCTCTGTCTATTTCTAGGATCTTCAAAATACGTTACCCACTTGGGGATGAGCGTACCTGTCTGTAAACGGTTTCAAACTGTTTACACAAGCAGTATCTCTTGATTATGAATGTTTGTTGACTCAGTTTATGGGTGTAAACCATGGACTCTAGTTCGAATTTTTCTGTATGTTTATTGATCTCTTATCTTAAACTTGTACCTGGCTGTCCTGTTTCAGTAGAGACCAAGTTATGAACTCCAAAAAAGGCAACAGAGTCAAGATTTTCCTCTTCTTCAGTTCCAGCTGCTTGAGAAAATGGGCTAATTCTTGTCTCATCACACCTACCCGCTGTACACGGGTAAAAAAAAAAGAAAAAGACGTGCACACACATAATATACTGCACATAGATTTAGCACATTATTACATATGTCTCATGGGGTCAAACCTACTGTCCTCACCTCCGACGCAGTCTGTAGCTCTTTAGCCCATTCCATGATCTTCTGCTCCATATGCTTGGAAGAATCCACCTTGTGCTCTTTCTGCTCCAAGGATGCATCTCTTTCTTGTCGCCATGTGCCCTCACTGAACAACTATAAGAAGGAGAATATAAACAGAGATAATCTTAGCAATGATCTTAATGAAAATAATGCATGATGTTTATACATATGTATCTTTTATCCTTGAACTCACATCGTCAACTTTCTTGAGCTCCTTTGTCCACTCAAGGATGAGTTTGCGGCATTGCTTCAGACTATACGGCTCTGCATGCACATTGATATTTGGGCCTTCATCTGCACTGGAGCCAGGCTAAAACAAACACACAGTTAATATTTATTGTGATATTTTAGACATTAAGTGTAGACAAACACACATTACTGTCTGCATCAGCATCCCACAGTCCTTATTCCCACTCTTCAGACCCACAAAGGCTGTTAAAGTGCATGCATTTAATTTAATGACACCGAAAACCTACCTCACCCTTCCGTGATGCATTTCAACAACAGGACAATGCAACCGTAATGACAGGGTGACGGGGTTAATTCTGTCTTATCAGTAGCTTTATGACACATGAATATGAGGCTTCTATAAAATTGATTAACCATTACTGTGTATAAGATATTGCCAAGCAACCTTTATAACATTAAAATGACAGTTCACCCAAAAATGAAAAGCATTCCCAACTGACAAAAAAAAGAAGCTATTATGTTTTGCTAGTGTTCTCATTAAGCAATGAACGCATTTGAATGTTCTACGAAAACATTATTTTTTTTTCTACGATCGTAAAGGGAACATTTTATAATTTTATTTTATGGAACTTTTGAATATTCTCCAACCAAAACGTTTTAGAAATAAAATGTTCCATGGGCAATGTATAAATCATGTTTTTGTGCTAATGTTTTAAGAAAATTATTAAAGACTATTTTTACATTATTGGAAGAACGTTAGTTTCATAACTTTGAGAGAACCTTGACAAATGTGCCAAATCTGCATGACTCATTTTTGGTGGGGATTTTTCTGTGACTCTTTCTGCAGGTTCCATTGTTGCTCAGTAGGTGACAACAAATGACTCTTTTTGAGTGAAAAATCTATACATTTTAGGCTATACAAAGCATTACATATTACCCTGCTGACATGTTCCACCTGCTGTTTCCACTGAGTGATAAACTTAACGCATTCCTGCAGGCTGCGGAGATCCTTCAAGTCCTGTAAACAACAGAAAGGTGAGGTGTAATTTATTTGTAATTAGGAAAAAAGGTTGAATTTCAAAACCGTGCAGAAAAGAAACTCTGTAGGAAGTACAGTAGAGTAAGATGGGGTAAGACCCCCCCCCTGATTTTTTTTCTCTTGACCACATAGCACAAAATCTCACCTCAGCACCTTTGATGAATGGCTATGCTGTTTTTAATCTGAATATCAACATTTGTGAGATCAGTCCAAATAGTTTTGAGGTTAATTGATCTAATTCTGTGTCTCTGGAAAAGAGTGATCTATGTCATAATATTATGTTGAATGGTTGAAAAAAAACGTTTTTTTTGTGTCTATTTGTTAACGAGGGATTTTTGGACACATCAATGTTTTTTTGTGTGTGTGTGTGTGAAGTAAAAGTTATGTCTTTTATTTTGAAGTAAAAATATCAAATTAGACCCTTAGGGTAAGATGGCCCCCTCAGAATTGGCACAGAAGCACCCAAGTGGCATGTTGTTACTTATTATTTTTTAAATTGAATACTGATTGTAATTAATAGGGTTATTATTTAACATTTCCATGGATTAGATGTACATTTCAGACATATTTGCTTTCATTACAGCCTAATTATTTGAATTCATAGTGTTGCTATTATGACATATCTTCCATTAAAATATGGGCAATTAAACATGTAAATATTAATATTCCTGTATATAAGTCATAGAGCCATTTTACCCTTTTAGATTAATCTTTTTACTGGGATTTTTTTTTTTATGTCTGTCTTTGATTATTTTATTATTCAACTAAACTATCTGTTGGTTTACCTTTTGTCTAGGACTCTGGCTGCTCTTGCTAGGAACTGAGCTGTGAGCCTGAAAACCTTCATCAGGAAGATTCCAGCGTACAGCTCCGATAGTTACACTCAAACCAGCTTCAGGCGCCTCATATTCTGTGACACACACACAAACATCTTTCATTTCTACTTCTTAAACATTCAAACACACTATAAAATGTGCATGATTGCTAAAATCATAGTCTAGAAACTTACTTTTGCTCTTCAAGATACTCTTCATGTTGGCTGGTTTATCCATTTTTGTTTTGAGTACCTCAATCTTTAAAAGTCAACACAAATATATCCCAAATGAAGGTAAAGTGCATATAAGCTTTTACTTACTGATTTAAAGGCTAATTGATTTGGGGGGGGGGGGGTCTCTTTCTGTCTTTTTTAAATATTAAAACCATTTTTTTACAGTCTATGATTAAAACATTATGTTTAAATCAAATAGAATATAGGGAAGTTTACAGCCCTCACCTTCTCTACTGCAGGAGCAGACCAGCTCAGAGATGTGAGTTGCACGCCGGCAGATCCAGAGCACAAGACCCAGATCCTCTCCTGTAGTATTATGTCATCTGTATGGACTACACAATGAACTTTGTCTCTTCAAACCACCCTAGTCATTGACACATGATATCTCTCCTATCAACTCATGTAAACTTCTGTTAACTAAAGGAAAAGCTTATGTAATCAATTTATGTGGGCTGAAAAGCTTTATGTATTGTTATGCTATGGTAAGGTCTAATCTTTAATTTCAAAGTCAAAGTTACTTATAATATAAAATATAACATAGAATAAAGAGGCAACATACAAGCATGACTGTGTGTTTGGTTTAAATAGCAAACTGACTTAGAAGAAATAAAGGCAAAAGATTTTATTCAGCTTCTTTATTGAGTTGTTGATCTACTAAAACTGAAATTAATAAAAAATAAATTCAATATCTCTGTCAATATATTGAAATGTACTGTGAAGTTCAGTCTAAGCCAAGACCAGAAATGAATCATGTGAAACTGTCCACTTCCTGTAAGCAAGTGCAATTTCACTTGAATTAATGAAGTAACCCGATAAAAAAATACATGCTGAATATGCATTTCTATATTAAACAACACTAAAACAAAATTAAACAACTGGGACAGCAACAGACATAATGAAAATATGTATTGTTCACCTTTCTCACCACACCCAGATGATTGTCATTTCAAGATAACTGCATATATCGTTTACAAGAAATTAAACCACCCTCGTTGTATAGTAAGTTATTAAAGGACTCAAAGGGTATATCTTTTCATTTTTAATTTAAGATTTAGGCAGTAAAATGCTACTGTGATCAGCTAGTCCTAAAGTATAGCTATTGCCAAAATAATTTACAGTAAAACATGTCTGTAAAATAAAAGTTCTACAGTGAAAACAGTTAAGGAATAGTTAAGATAGTTTAATTTGCTCATTGATTCTTTAAGGAGTCCATAATGCTCCTTTCTGTAGACCTGTTTTTAAACTTAATTTAAGAGTTATGATGGAAGAATGACTCATTAAGAATGTCAACTGACCTTAATTTTGCTTGCAGTTGTGCAACTGTTATTAGTTAAGTCCTTATTGTTTATGTATTCAGTGTTTATTTGCTCCATATTCACAGGTGAGAGCTCAGCCATTTGTCCTTCACATTGATTGGTTGTGGAGGTTTTAGTTTTAGATTAATGTACAGGCTCATCCTTTATCTTAGTGAGTATCTCCAAGATAAAAGACGATCACATTGAAGGCCGTGTATGTGTCGTGTGTGGTGGTTGCATAAGCACTGAGACTTTCTGTGGTGTCTGTGTGTGCATATATTTGATATCGGGACAATTTGAGGCTCAACATACAATATAACAAAGGTTAACAGACATCATGTCATTGCATGAGTATTTGAACACCACAAAACAACAGACCACTGTGTTGTATACAGGTATTTTAGATTAATGCAAAAGATTATGCATGACAGAAAATTAATCAACAATTCACATGGATTTTATATATATATATATATATATATATATAATTTTTTT